AGAGAGTCAGCTGGAGAAGGGAGCCCTTGGGAAAGGTCCCAGACACGCCTATCCAACCACAGCAAGCAGCCGCTGCCTCCAGGGTAACAGCCTTCTAGAAAGCTGCTTCCAGCATTTCCAAGTCTGGGAATGCGGGTCAGAGAGGCATGAGTGAATAGCAGGTTGCTGGTGGTCACCACCCCCATGCAGGGGATGACCGGGGTGTGCCCCATGCTGCCACTGAAAGTGCTGAGATGTGAGCTGAATATTTAGAGCTTTGAGGACAGAGCATGAGATTTGGGGTCAGGGAGACCAGAGTGGGAAACCTGGCTCTGTCCTTCACCAATGTGATCTGGGGCAACTCAACTTTTTTGTGTGTGAGCCTCAGTTTTCTCATCAGCAAGTGGGAAATCACATAGAACCCCAACAAGTGATTCAATTCAGTAAGTGTGTATTGAATGCTGCCTTCATGGGTCCCTGTGCTGGTTTCTCAGAAAGGAGCAAGGCAGAGGAAGAGACAGACACTGGGAGAGAGAGACACATGAAGAGGGAGATGCACAGAGAAAGAGAGATGAGACTGAATGTGAAGGAGAATGACTGAAAGAAGACAGACCAGTTCCTGCCATCAGGGAGCTCCCAATAGTGGTGGTGGCGGAATTATAAAGATATAGGCTACACACTTACATATTTATTGCTCAGCCTGTTTGAGTAGCACTACATGCAAATAGCCACCCACTCCAGTATTCTTGACTGCGGAACCCCATGGACATAGGAGCCTGGCGGGCTACAGTCCGTGGTGTTTGCAAAAGAGTCCATTGTGACTTAGCGACTAAACAACAATAACCACATGCAAAGCTCACAGAAGGCTCTTGGAGGCCCAGGAACGCTGTCAATGGAAATACCTGGCACATCTCGCCCGGAGCAGGGGCCCTACTACTAGAGGCTCCTCCCCACCCTTTAGTCACCCCAACTGAGGAACACACCAGGGAACGTCTCAGCGCTCTACAGGCGAGAGCTCCTCACCCCAGTTTGCATAAGGCTCTCACCGAGAGAGTCTGACTGCTGAGTCTTACAACAGGCCTTACAGCAGAGCAGCGCATAAATGCAGGACCAGGCTGAGAGGGCCAAACACACCTAGTAAAGCCCCAGAGTCAGTACTAACCACCCCGGCCGCTGGGACAGTGCAGAAGATCTCGCTGGGGTCTTCCAGGCTTAATGCCCTGCGTGGTTTGCAGCTTGAGGGCTGGCCTTGGAACAACAAGCGGGAGTAATCAATGTCTTCCTTACACTGGGCTGAATTCTGATACCAGGCACCGCCCAGAGCGTGGCACCAGAACAATGAGGCCTGGGGTGACCGAAGGGCCACACACGCACTTGGCTTCTCGGCTATGCAGGACCTGGCGGCCAGCCTCCCTCTGCCCCTGGGAAAGAGTGGTGGGTGGCAGAGCCTCCCCTGTCCTGGCTTGTTCAAGATGGGCTTCCAAGAAAGACCAACATATGCTCCCCTTCTTCTGACCCCAGGGGTGAGGGCCTGAACTTGACTGGGCATGCCTGCTAGAGCAGGCTGGAAGGACCTGTGGGGCTGCCCCAATGCCAACACCCAGGCTCATCCCAGGTGTATTAAATCAGACCCAGTATATTTTAGATCCTCCAGTTTCCAGTGTGCAGCCCAGTTTGGGAAATCACTGGTACAGCGCTTCTTTCTCCCTGGAGCCTTCTCATCTCTCGTTGACTCTTTGGGCTAGGAACGCTCCTCTGCTGAGCAAGCTGGTTAAGTCTTCGAGTAGGGAGAGTAGCAAACTGACATGACTGAAAGGACCAGATGATACTTCAATGTGTGAAATGCTGACTGGGTGAGAAAGAGGGCTGTAAACCCATTGAGCTGGGGTGCAACCTGTCTAAAGTCCTTCAGGCCTGCATTGCTTTTCAGCGACGTGGGTGGTCCAAACCAATTAAGGCTGTCAGTGTGTGACTCATGGCTTAAAAGTTTAAATGGTAAGAGAATTGAGAATTGTTTTGACCTTTAAAGTTTTAATGAGTTATCCAAGAGGCTACTTAGCACAGTAAGTCCGCTACATACTAATGAGTTCCGTTCTGAGAGCACAGTTCGTGAGTCCAATTTGTTCCTAAGTCCAACAAAGTTAGCCTAGGTACCTAGCTAACACAGTCTGAGACATAGTACTGTACTGTAATGGATTTATAATATTTTTCACAAAAATAATGCATAAAAAATAAACACAAAAAATAAAACATTTTAAATCTGGCAGTACAGTGCCTTGAAAAGTACAGTAGTGCCAGCTACATCACCACTGCTTTTACGCTTGCTTCCAGACATTCTGAGCTTGAAATAAAGACACTGCACTACTGTCCTCTGTACAGTCCTATCCAGTAAAGTGTACGCAAGCACAACCACTTGTAGAGGATGCACACATGTGACAATGTACACCAGACATATGAACTAACTCACGTGATTGGACATGAGAACACACATTTGCATCTTTGAAAGTTTGAAACTTGAAGGTTTGTATGGAGGGGACTTACAAAAGGACACAAAAGTGGGGAGTCAGGAGACGAGGGTCTTGGCTCTGCCAACAGGTGACCCCTTATCCTTGTGAATGTTGGGTTCCTCAATTACACAGCATCAGAGATCAGACTGGGTATTCTGTGGGAACCTTTCTAGCTGTAAAACGCTAGGATGCTGTGGCATTAACTCACGCCCCTGGTCCCCTGGTTCTGTGTGCGCTTCAGCCAGGTGATAACACCTGGGGTAGCAGCTTATCCAGCTAGGGATCTCCCACTCTGCTCATCTCCTCCCCTAGAATCCTTGCTGTTCATCTTTGAAAGTAGAACTTAGGAGGAAAACCCACAACGAGGTGTAACACACAGCTCTGGCCTTCTTTCTGCCCCCTAGGGACGCAAACGTCCCCAGTAAAACACCCATTGCTTAGGAGACAGGCTCGGATGGACTATAGCCTTGAGACCACAGCCGAAGACCCTTGGGTTAGAATTTCTGACTGCATCAAAAATCTCTTTAGCCCCATCATGAGTGAGAGCCATAACCACGTGCCGCTGCAGCCCGACGCCCCGCGGGGTGAGGAAGACGGGATGCGAGGTCACCCAGACGGGGCTGCCGCGAAGCTGGACACCACGGGTGGCGGCCCCAAAGCTTACAAGCCGGCAGGCGGCAGCACCGCGAAGAAGGGCCCTCCAGTAGCCCCCAAGCCAGCCTGGTTTCGCCAAAGCTTGAGAGGTTTGAGCAATCGTGCTCCGGACTCCAGGCGAGAGATGGTCGCCTCCTGCCAGCCGACCCCCGCCTCCAGGGAGCGCCCCGGGCCACCCCCGCGGGCCTCGTCCTCTATCAAGCAGAGGATCAGCTCCTTCGAAACCTTCGGCTCCACTCACCCGCCTGACAGAGGAGCCCAGAGACTGAGCCTCCAGGCCTCCAGCTCCTCGGGTGAAGCAGCAGAACTTCCCGGGAAGCAAGAGGGAGGGCGGGCTTCTGGTCCCTCAGGGCGAGGGGCTCCCCCCACCATGGAGCAGCAGCGGCCAGAGCCAGAGCAGCTGCCCCCCGCCTCCCCGGCCACCTCAGAGGCCAGCGACCCCAGCGTGTCGGGGCACACTGCCCTGGAACAGCAGCCCGGCCAGAAAACCCTCTCCCCCGACCCCGACCCTCTCTCAAGGCTGCTGGCGACACAGATGGAGGGACCCCGAGGCCCAGTGGTCAAGATGCCAAGTCAGCGGGCTCGGAGCTTCCCCCTGAGCCGGACCCAGTCCTGCGAGATGAAGCCACTGGACGAGAAGACCAGTAAACTCTACTCCATCAGCAGCCAGGTGTCCTCGGCTGTCATGAAGTCCCTGCTCTGCCTCCCGTCTTCCATCTCTCTCGGCCAGACCCCCTGCAGCCCCAAAGAAGGGGTGTTGCCTCCCGCAGCATTCGGTGAAGACCCCACAAATAGTTCTGCCGAAGCTCCTGCCTCAGACACCGGCTTCTCTCTCAAGTGAGTGTCTCCGTCCAGAGTCCACCTCTCTCATCTTTCGTCCTCTTACAATCCTGTGTCTTTAAAAAGTTTCTCAGGTTTGCTAAAGGATTGTTCCACCTGTTCTGTCTCTCTCTTTTTTAAGTGTTTATTTTATTTTTTGACTGCACTGGGTCTTCATTGCTTTTCAAAGGCTTTTCTCTAGTTGTGGTGCGCGGGCTTCTCATTGCAGTGACTTCTCTTGTTGCAGAGCATGGGCTCTAGGCAGATGAGCTTCAGTAGTTGTGGCTCGAAGGCCCTAGAGCATAGGCTCAGTAGTTGTGGCAAACAGACTTAGTTGCTCTGTGGCATGTGGGATCTTCCCAGAACAAGGATTGAGTCCATGTGCCTTGCAATGCAAGGTGGATTCTTAACCACTGGACCACCAAGGAAGTCACCACCTGTTCTTATGAGCATATGTGTGTGTGTGTGTGAGAGAGAATGTGTGGATGTGAGAGTGTATGGGTCTTGTGAGTGTGTGGGTGAGTATGTGGGTGAGTATGTGGGTGTGTGTGAGAGAGAGGACTCACTCTTGGTGGTCATATAAACGCAGATTTACCCAAAACATCAGTTATACTTCAGGGTGAAGTTTTGAACACAGACTTCAGAGTCAGACACACCACAATCTGTGATTTCAAATTCCAGATCTTGGCATTTCATAACAACATGACCATAGACAAGTTTCCCCACCTCCCTGAACCCCAATGTCTGTATCTCTATGGTGAAGAAATGCTAGTATCTATTCATAGACTTGTTGCATGTACTTGTAGAATGAACATTAGCACCCTCCGGTAGTACAGTAGGTATGCAAAGGCTGTTAGCTCTTGTTAGCATCACAACTCATACTGTGTGCTTCTCCTCCCTGCCAAGCCTTTCGGAGCTGAGAGAATACACGGAAGGTCTTAATGAGTCCACGGACGCCAACGACTGTGACCACTGCACCCCTCAGCCCGGTCAATCAGTTATCTCCCTGCTGAGCACAGAGGAACTAAAGAAGCTCATAGAGGAAGTGAAGGTTCTGGATGAAGCTACATTAAAGGTAGGTTTCTTTTTTATGGGCATTTACCAAGATGAAGGGCTTCCCAGGTGGCATGAGTGGTAAAGAACCCACCTGCCAATGCAGGAGACGTTAAGAGACATGGGTTTGATCCCTGGATTGGGAAGAGCCCCTGGAAAAGGGAATGGGAACCCACTCCAGTACTATTGCCTGCAGAACCCCATGGACAGAGGAGCCTGGTGGGCTACAGTCCATGGGTCTCAGAGTTGAACATGACTGAGTGACTTAGCTCTTACAGAGATGAAGGCCTTGCTCAGAGCAATGTGGTCACCTCAGTTAGGTCGGAGGAGAAGCAACCCATGTGGCCCTGGGATCCTTGAAGTCGAGACAGTGGTTCCCAGGGGCAGATACCAGAGTAAGATTGTGCCCTGCCCAGGGCAGAGGGGCACTGTATCACTGGACCAAAATCAGACCTTCCAGTGTAGGGAACTTTGTCACTCATGAAGTGATTTCAATCATAGAGTTGTATCTTTTTGATAGTTTAATAAGGGAGAAAGTGAGGTTCAAGGTCACAGAGTCAAGGTTTTCTATCTCCACTTTCCCCTGGCTGCCTGCCTGGCTTGCATCTCCAGGGTGATGCTGCTTACGAGTAAGCTGTCCATCATAAATTCTGAGTTCTTGCCTGAAGACTTGCCCTGCTCACCGAGAGGTGACTGATCCCAGGACTTGCAAAGGCTCCCACACTCAGTCAAGTCATTCTGAAAGTCCCACTTCCCCTATGCCTTCTGAGCATGACCCAAAAGTCTGTGGAGAGGAAGTGGTCAGGCAGAGCTGAGGCTCATTCAGCTCAGACAAGCACAGCCTCACGGGCCTTGCATCTGTCTAGGAGACCCCAGTCCGTGAAGGCTGTTTACACTGGAGTTATCCAGACTGGGAGGAGAGGGTAAGGAGGCATCACAGCCAGCATTCCCTACAGTAGGGGTCCCCAGCCTCCAGGATCTAATGCCTGATGATCGGAGGTGGAGCTGATATAATGATAATAGAAATAAAGTACACAGTAAATGTAGTGCACTTGGATCACCCTGAAACCATCACCCTTCCCCTAGTCTGTGGGGAAATTGTCTTTTATGAAACTGGTCCCTGGTGCCAAAAAGGTTGGGGACTGCTGCTCTAGATCAAGGGCATGGGTGAGCCTGAGAAGATGCCCTGGGCCTCTGGGGCTCTTTCTCATCACCTGTGCACTGACACCATCTTACCCAGAGCCTGATTTCAACAAAATAACAGAGGCTAAGCTATGGTTTTTCCAGTAGTCATGTACAGATGTGAGAGTTGAACCATAAAGAAGGCTGAGCACTGAGCAATTGATGCTTTCAAATTGTGGTGCTGGAAAAGACTCTTGAGAGTCCGTTGGACTGCAAGGAGATCAAACCAGTCAATCCTAAAGGAGATCAACCCTGAATATTCATTGGAAGGACTGAAACTGATGCTGAAACTGAAGCTCCAATACTGTGGCCATCTGATGTGAAGAGCCAACTAACTGGAAAAGACACTGATTCTGGGAAAGACTGAGGGCAGGAGGAGAAGGGGGTGACAGAGGATGAGATGGTTGGATGGCATCAAGGATTCAGTGAACATTAGTTTGAGCAAATTCCGGGAGATAGTGAAGGACAGGGAAGGCTGGCGTGCTTCAGTCCATGGGGTCGCAAAGAGTCGACATGACTTGGCAACTGAACAACAGCAACAAAGTACTATGTAAAATACATAGCTGTCCTTCTTGGGGCCTCCCTGGGAGAGTATTTGCTTTTAAACTTGACAAAGTGCTCTTACAAGGCAAGTAAGCTGATGCCTGGGGACAAGTTGGGAGGTTTGGGCCAGTGCTGCAGTAGAGGTGGGGACCGTGAAGTCCATTCATCCCTTCATCCCCCCCTGGGTCTTGGGGACTCCAGATCAAAGGCTCGTGGAGCTAGCGGCACAGCAGAGGCTCTGGTGGTGCCAGAGCAAGTGAATTTTTGATTTAAGGTTATTCCTTTGTGCCAGGGCACAAACTGGTGGCCTGAGAGCCTGCAGGTGTATTGTATTTGGTCTGCTTGGTGATTGTCTAAAAAGTATTATAGTGTGTGTGTGCGTGTGTGTGTAGTTGCTAAGTCATGTCTGACTCTTTGCGACCCCATGGTCTGTAGCCCACCAGGCTCCTCTGTCCATGGAATTCTCCAGGCAGGAATACTGGAACAGGCAGCCATTCCCTTCTCCAGGGGATCTTCCTGACCCAGGGATCCAACCCAAGTCTCCTACATTGCAGGCAGATTCTTTATCATCTGAGTCACCAGGGAAGCTCAGTATTATATTAATATTCTAAATATCATCAAACCCGAATCAAAACCTGGACTCTGGCTTCCCCCTCTCTCTCTTTTTAAATATTTATTTATTTGGCTGCATCAGGTCTTAGCCATGGCTCACAGACTCTCTAGTTGTAACTTGCAGGCTTAGTTGCCCTGTGGCTTGTGGGATCTTAGTTCCCCGAGCAGGGATGGAACCCACATTCCCTGTATTGCAAGGCAGATCCGTGGAACCACTGGACCATTAGGGAAGTCTCTTGGCTTCTCTCTTTTAACAAAGGGCATGAATGGTCCTGGAGCACTGGTCTGCATTCCTAGGAGCAGAGGGTCCTCTCGAGCCGATGTGCTCTCCATTCTCTGTAGTTCCCCTCGCTGTCTCACATCTGTCCCCTTTGCTCTTTTAAGTGGTCAGCCTGGGCCCTGGATGCACTTGAGTTTGAGACACCGCCCCCCCCCACCGCCATTAAGACCAGACGAGGGTCTCTGACTTTAGACACTGCAGAGGGATTGTTCTGGCTCCAGGTGAGCCCAGGTCCAGGTTGGGAAGTACTCTGTGTGTGTCTGTGTGTGTGCCTGGGTGGGCATGTGTGTTTGTGTGTGTATGTGTACACATGTGTGTTCTAGGGTGAGAAGCCAGCTGGGCTCCTTAATGCTGCTGCTGGCCCCATGGAGCAGCAGGTGTAAAACAGAACCACCAACTCCTGCAAAACTGCACCACCCCAGCTTTGCTGACCCAGAGTTCTCCAGGCTGACCCCATCCCACACCAGGTGGCAGAGCTGTGTTGTCCCAACTTCGATTTCCAGCTAACTCAGTAGCACCCAGCCCCATCTATACAGATGTGGGTGTGGATGGGTGCACAGGAGAGGAAAAGAACTCTACAGGTCGCCGTACATGCATTTTCTTTTTCTTTTGAGCTTCCCATGATTTCCCAGGAAGTTTTCTTTTTCTAAATAATGAGATGGGTTTGACACAACTGGGAACATGGACAAGCTGCGATTTGAGAGCAAATCAGCCTGATGTTACGCTTCTCAGGTGGCACTAGTGGTAAAGCATTGACTTGCCAATGCCAGAGATGCAAGAGACGTGGGTTTGAACTCTGGGTCAGGAAGATCCCCTGGAGTAAGAAATGGCCACCCACTTCAGTATTCTTGCCTGGAGAATCCCATGGACAGAGGAGCCTGGTGGGCTACAGTCCATGGGGTTGCAAAGAGTCAGACATGATTAAGCACACACACAGCCTGATGTTAGAACACTTGTTAAATCTTGATCTTCTGTAGTTTTATTAAAGTTGAACAGAGGGGAAGAAGAATACTTGCTAAATTGTTCATGCTGTTGCAATACAATGTTTTTAATATATATATTTTCCTTCTGCAGCAATTAGACAGCATCCATGTCACCATCTTGCACAAGGAGGAAGGGGCCGGCCTTGGGTTCAGCTTGGCAGGAGGAGCAGATCTAGAAAACAAGGTGATCACGGTGAGTGGCCCAGTCATGGGGTTCATCAGAGCCAGAGGCAATGACCCTTGGAGAGGGGAGCACTTATCAGGAGAGGGATCAGAGGAATGCATAACCCCAGGCCCTGGGCAGGGAGGTTACTGCAGGAGTTTAAGATACTTAGAGAAGCATAGATACTTATCCACTGGACCAGGAGGGAAGTCCCATGATCCTTAACTTTAAAAAGGTCTCTGGGTACACAAAACAACTTTAATTTACCCAAAGAAATCTGAATCACTTATGGAACTTTAAAAAATATTACAGGCATCTCAGCCTCACCCCAGAGCTGTTTTATCAGAATTTCTTGAAGTCAAAGCCTTAATGCCTCCATTTTTGAAGGTCCTGGAGAGACATTTAAAAAATTCCAACACAGTAAATGTCACTGCATTGAAGTGAAGTGAAGTGATATGAAAGTTGCTTAGTCATGTCCAACTCTTTGCAACCCCATGGACTATACAGTCCATGGAATTCTCTAGGCCAGAATACTGTAGTGGGTAGCCTTTCCCTTCTCCAGGGTATCTTCCCAACCCAGGGATCAAACCCAGGTCTTCCACATTGCAGGCAGATTCTTTACCAGCTGAGCCACCAGGGAAGCCCAAGAATACTAGAATGGATAGCCTATCCCTTCTCCAGCAGATCTTCCCGACCCAGGAATCAAACCAAATATATATGCATATACATATATGTATATACATATATACATGTATACATGTATACATATATACATCCCTCTTGGATGTCCCTCCCAACTCCCCACCCCATCTCACCCATCTAGGTCATCACAGAGCACTGACCTGAGCTCCCTGTGCTTGACATACATATGCCACCAACGTTTAGACAAGAATGATTTATGACCACAGGAGCCTTTACCAAAGGCTTTACAGGAAGGATTGAAGGCCTGGCTGTGACACATAGCACAGCACATCTAGATGGAAAGAGGTCTCACCTGGACAGAAAGAGGCCTTGGGCAGGCAGGTGTGGCACAGGAGGCTGTTTTCCTGGGTTTGCCCACTGGGAGATGGGGTGTGTTAACACAGACGGTGGTAAAGCAAATCTGACGGTTGGTGGTGGGCGGTGGGGCCCACCTGGAAAGGTCAGGAAGCTGTTTCTGTTGCTATTCACAGAGCACAGCTCAGGCTGTACCCAAGGCTTCAGATCTCGAGGTCCAGCCCCCTGTTCTCGCGGGACCAGCTGGTACGCAGGGTAACTCGGCACACTGCTTTCAGTCATTTCAGAGTCAGTCATGTGTGAGCAGCAACTTCCTTCTTTGCAAGCAAGCTCTCCACCACAAAAAAGCACATAAAACCCATGAGGATCTTGGGTTGGTGATTGTCTAAAAAGTATTAGACACTTATTAGACACTCAGTTCTGACACTGAGCACTGGCAGATCACCATAAAGACGTTCTGGACGGTACAGTCTGCTCCCTAATTGAAGAGCAGAAAAGAGAGCTTGCCTGTGGGAACAACACTTTGGATCTGTGGGTCTGCCCTGGAGTGGGGAGTTTTCTGCCCCCATTTCGGCCGCCACCCCTGACACTGCCTCAAAAGCCGGGGGCGGTACACATCGGCTGATCCTGTGCACCGAACTTCCCCTTTCTCCTTCCATGTTTGAGCGCTTCTGTTCCTTTCCAGATTCATTCAAAGAGAACTAATGTTGAGTACCGTCCTTTATCAAGAACAAGCTGGGTTCCCACTGACATGTGCAAGTTTTCTTCCCCATGCCTCAGGATGGGGGATCGTTGGCATGCTTGCTTCACTTGTGGAGGATGGATGGAGATGCAGAACAGAAATTCTACCTCCTACTCGGGTCTCATAATCAGAGGATCTTGACTACATCTGACCCCATAACAGAATTTTTCCAACACTGAAACTGTTTAGAGAAACAAAGAACCTTGATCAAAGGATAACAGCAAAACAACACATAGCACAGTTTAGCGATTGCCCACTCATGCTGTCATTCAGTCCTCCTAATTAAGCACATTAGAATTTACATCATTAAAAAGGCTGAGGCAGGTCTTGTTTGGGAGTCCAGTGGTTAAGACTCTGTGCCTCCATTGCAGAGGTGGTGGGTTTGATCCTGAGTCAGGGAACTAAGATCCCACATACCGTGGGGCCAAAAAATAAAAAGCCCCATACATGTTAAAAAAAAAAAATGTATTACAGAAAAAAAAAGAAGACAACTGTCGCAAAGACATGAGGTTTTTTGTTTTTTTTTAATACGACACATTTTTCAGAAAGGGAACTTAGGTGGGTGATGGTCTCTTAATTGGAATTAAGGATCAGGATTTCTAGGGGAGGAGCTTTAAAAATATTCAGACTTCCTGGGATAATAATTCTGCATTCTGTGAAACATGTGGCCTGAGAATTTCTCTATGAAAAAAAGAATGCTTTGCTGAACCTTTTGGGGATCACTATATTATTTGGCCTGTTCTTAGAGAATTATCATGCCAGCCTGCACTATAGAGTCTCTAATGTTTTTTTTAAACAGTAGACATTTTCAGAGCTTGTATTTTATCCAATGTTCTTAATTTTCTTAGACCTTGGAAACTTTTCTAACACAATATCTATTAATATGGCACAAAATCAGTGCTTGAAGAAAGTTTCCCTGGGAGAATGCTGATGCAGAGCACAAAGGGCAAAAGAGTGTGACCAAATGTTAACTAGGATTGTAGCAATACAGTCTAGGACGTTGTGTTGGAAAGAATTTTGAGGGCCAGTCTGGCCATTTTTGCTAATGATCTCTGCTGTGGGTAGAGAAGGGGGTGAAGCTGGCTAGCAGCCCTGAGCTAGGACACCTTTCATTTTCTTTGAAAGAATCTTCTGGGCTTCCTGGTGGCTCAGTGGTAAAGAACCTGCCTGCCAATGCAGGAGATATAGGTTCGATTCCCAGGTGGGGAAGATGCACAGGAGAAGGAAGTGGCACCCCTTCCAGTATTCTTGCCTGGAAAATCCCATGGACATAGGAGCCTGGCAGACTGCTGTTCATTGGGTCACAAAAGAGGTGGTCACTTAGCAACTAAACAACAAGAACCTGGGTTTAACTGGTCGTGATCCTCCTCCAGCAAGAATCCAGATCCAATATGGTAAGTCCTGGGTCCTGACCTCCTCTGGTTTGCTCAGGTTCACAGGGTGTTCCCTAATGGGCTGGCCTCCCAGGAAGGGACCATTCAGAAGGGCAATGAGGTTCTCTCCATCAACGGCAAGTCTCTCAAAGGAGCCACACACAATGATGCCCTGGCTATCCTCCGCCAAGCTCGGGAGCCCAGGCAAGCTGTGATCGTCACCAGGAGGCCGACTCTGGAGGCCACGACCGACCTCAACTCCTCCACTGATTCCTCAGGCTCAGCCTCTGTGGCCAGTGACGTCTCCATAGAATCCAGTAAGTTCTCCTTGCCTGGTAGAAGCCTTGTGGGCCACATCACTTTTGAATGTGTGAGGCCAGTGCTGGCAGGGCCATTCCTGGTCCTCAGAACACTTAGCCAGCTGGGCGATGCACACACACGGGTGAATCCACACATGCGCACAAGTTCCCTGGCAGCATCAGCCAGGCTCACCTGATACCCAGAAGGAGAACATCCCTAACAAACCTCTGTGTTTTCTCAGCAGCAGAGGGCACAGTCTGCACAGTGACCCTGGAAAAGACCTCTGCGGGACTGGGCTTCAGCCTGGAAGGAGGGAAGGGCTCCCTGCATGGGGACAAGCCTCTGACGGTTAATAGGATCTTCAAAGGTGCGATGTGGGTCCCCCTTTTGGCTTCAGCTCTAGTTGTGTGTTGGACCAGGCAGCCCACAGGCTTCTGAGGGCCCTACAGGGCTTATCGGTTTCCCACAACCCCAGGCCCTTTTGGGAGGCAGGCAGACCTCTTACGAACTTGACTTTGCTTTTTCTCCCTGTTCTCCTTGGCTCAGACATCCCTGTAATCCCTCTATTTTGCTGGGTCCTTGTAAGTGACCCAGCCTGCTCTGGCTTCAGCCTGGCAGGGATGGGACCAAGGTGAAGTACGTGAGGCCCTGAATGTCATTTTTTAAATTTTTTAAAATTATTTGTTATTTATTTATTTTTTCTATGCTGAGTGTTTTTTGCTCCTCGTGGGCTTTCTCTAGTTGCAGAGAGCGGGGGCTACTCTCTGGTTGTGGTGTGCAGGCATCTCATTGTGGTGGCTTCTCTCATTGCAGAGCTGGGGCTCTAGAGCACTCAGGCTTAGTAGTTGTGGTGCACAGGCTTAATTGCCCCTTGGCATATGGAATCCTCCTGGACCAGGGATCGAACCCAAGTCTCCTGCATTAGCAGGCAGATTCTTATCCACTGGTCCACCAGGGAAGTCCTGGGTGCAATATTGAAGGGGGTGCCGAAATATTCAGTAATCAAGATACAGACTGTTTCAATGCAATATTTTTTTAAATCAAAATTAATTCAAAAAGCCCACAATGAACAAAACACAGAGTCCGACTTTCCACTAGCAGAACCCAGCCCCACTCACCTCATTCTAATCCTGGACCCATCAGCTCCTACTGTTATTCAAAATGTTGAGATTTTGTTCATCATGGATTGGGGAGCAAGCCAACCCTAGTTGGAGGTTACTTGGGTTTTCCTGGGAAGATAATGTATGGCCTGCTGCTGTCACATACAATCACCCCTAATTCTTCACTGCTTCTCAAGCTGGACCCCCTGAGTCCCAGAGCCAGGAGTTGTAGACTAGGGGTCACATGGTCTGGGATCTGGTCCAGTTCTGCTTCTTTTTTAAAATTTTTGGCTATGCTGGGTCTTCATTGCTGTATGCACGCTCTTCTCTAGTTGCAAGTTCATGGGCTTCTCATTACAGTGGCGTCTTGTTGCAGAGCACAGGCTCCGTAACACGAAAGCTTCAATAGTAGCAGCACATGAGGCTCCGAAGCTCTAAAGCACAGGCTCCGTAGTTGTGGTGTATGGGCTTAGTTGCTCCACAGTATGTGGGATCTCCCCCTATCAGGGATCGAACCCATGTCTCCTGTGTTGACAGGCAGATTCTTTACCACTGAGCCACCAGGGAAGCCCTCCAGCTCTGCTTCTAACTGCCAAGTGACTATTGTCTTCTGGGCCTGAGGCTCCTGATCTATAAGAAGAGCTGTGGACGGGGTTCTTTGGGCTCTTAATGTTGCGACGCAAAGGCCCTCCTAGCTCTGCTCCCTGTGCCCCAGGGAGGCCCCATTGCAGACTAGTTTTGTTTCTGGGAGGCCTGCTACAACTGCTGAGGCTCACATGGGAGCTTCCAAAGGATGCTATGTTTACTCCAACTCTGGAGAAGCTATATATATATAATATATATGTATATATAGGATTGGGTTTTTCTTTTATCCTTAACTAAGACTTCACCTTATTTATTTATGGCTGCATCAGGTCTTAGTTATGGCACATGGGCTTCTCTCTAGTTGTGTCATGCAGGGCTTAATTGTCATATGGGCTTAGTTGCCCCAAGGCCTGTGGGATCTTAGTTCCCCAACCGTAATCGCTGCATTGGAAGGTGAATTCTTAATCTCTGGACCACCTGGGAAATCCTCAATTCTGGGAAAGATATTTTTAACTTTTTATTTTAATTTTTGACCACACTGCACAGCACGTGTGTATGTGTGCTCGGTCATGTCCGACTCTTTGCAACCCCGTGGACTGTAGCCTGCCAGGGTCCTCTGTCCATGGGATTTCCCAGGTAAGAACACTGGAGTGGGTTGCTATTTCCTTGCAGAATCTTAATTACCAATTAGGGATCAAACCCACACCCCTTGCAGTGGAAGCTTCAAGCCTTAACTGCTGGACCACCAGGGAATTCCCAATATTTTTAACTTTTGAAAGTTGATTTGAGATGAGCTTACATCTCCAGGTCACTGGACCTGGATTCTAGTGTTAGTTCTGCCACCAATGACAGCACGACCTTACGCAAGTCACTTCCCCATCTTGGTCCCATTGGCTTACACGGGGATGAGCCTGCCAGCTGCAGGGTGATGTGGGGCCAAGGGATGTGGACTCTAAAGCCACAAAGTCTGGTTCAAACCTAGACCCCATCACGCAGCAGCTTCGTAGCTCAGGTGAGTTACTTGAGTCCTTGGTTTCCTCCCACATGAAAAGGGAACAGTAACAGAGCTACTAGAGTCCTAGGACTCTTGCCATAAGTGCTGAGTGTTAACACAAAGCCTGTGATATATAATTGCCCAGTATATTTTAGCTTTTTTTTTTTTTTTAGAAATGTCTGTTTAGATGCTTGATCTGTTTTATTTGTTCATTTATTGGCCACACTGCACAACATGCAGGATCTTGGCTCCCTGACCACGGACTGACCCTGTGCCCCCTGCACTGGAAGGTGAAGCCCTAACCACTGGGCCACCAGGGAAGTCCTGGGATGCCTCGCTTTAGATCGACCACTGAGCTCCAGAGGGATGGGCTCCAGTTTCCTTCTGAGCTGTCCTGGCTCCTCAGAGGCCAGGGTAGGTGGTGACTGCTTGTTCCCTTGTCACTCAAGGCACCCACTCTCCTCTCTCATCCCAGGGGTGGCCTCAGAACAGAGTGACACAGTCCAGCCGGGAGATGAAATCTTACACCTGGCCGGCACCGCCATGCAGGGACTCACGCGGTTTGAAGCCTGGAACATCATCAAGGCATTGCCTGATGGCCCTGTGACGATCGTCCTCAGGAGGAAGAGCCTGCAGTCCAAGGGGACCCCAGCTGCTGGAGATCCCTAGGCCCAGCACCAGTGCAGAAGCCAGAGCCTACCACATGCAGGTCCCCGAACTGCTAATTCTCAGGGTCACGGCTAACCCCACCCAATGGGGGAATGCACAGGTGTGCTTCCCAGTGGCTGCTTGCCTAGGTCTGGACCTTCTGGGACCCCACCCAGTAAGAGGGTGGCCCCAGAAGTTAGGGCACAGTCACAGTGGGGTGGCTGATACAAATGACAGACTGCATCTAGAGAGCTTAGTGATAATACTGTGGTGCTGTAAATAAAATGGATATATGATTGGACATGAAATCCATGGCTTGTTCTGCAGATTTTCTAAGGCCTGTCTCTGGGTGAAGATCCACCCTAACCTTTGTTTTTCTCACGAGTCTGCAATGCTGGCCTGCTTGGAGGGGGTTCCCTTCATCCTGCTCCACTTGTCATCAGCTGGCGCCAACTCACAGGCTGGAGGCTAGAACCACTGGAAGGGTCATCCACTCACACACAGGTCACTGAGGTTGGCTGCTGGCTAGGAACTCAGCTGGAGCCATTGGCCTGGACACTTGGGAGGCAGCCTCTCCCTGTGGCCAGGGCTTCCTCACAATACATGACTGCGTGTTCCCCGAGAGTGTGAGAGCCAGGTAGGAGCTGCATCCTTGGTGTGACCTTATCTCCAAAGTTGAAGAGCATCACTTCTCTTGTGCTCCATCAGTCAGAGCTGGCCCAGACCTGCTCAGGTTTAAGGGGAGGGGAAAGGCAGCTTGGGCTATTTTTTGAAAAATATGGTCTATCACATAGCGCATTTGCAAAACTTTTTGGTTGGGGTTGGAGAAGCGCTCCTAGCTGGGGTGGTACCCAGTGACAGAGCAAGTAACCAGACAAATGAAACTCCATGTGTGCTCAGCTGTGCCAACAGAATAGACCAGCCTGAGTCTGACAGGGTGAAATACACATGGCTGCCATGTACCTCCCATGTGCCAAGCACCGTGTTGGTATTAAGTGGACATTGTCTTCAGTAATCACAGCAGTGTCTACAGAGCATGATATCATCCTGTTATATAGATGAGAACACTGAGACCCGAGGACAGTGAGAAACTTGTCCAGCTGGTAAATGATACAGAGTGAGTCCTTTCTTCTGTGATTTGGTTGAGACCAATAGGCCAAGATGGGGCTTCCCTGATGGTTCAGCAGGTAAAGAATCTGCCTGCAATACAGGAGACACAAGAGACTTGGGTTTGATTCCCTGCCAGGAGGTTATGGCAACCCACTCTAGTATTCTTGCCTGGAGAATGCCATGGACAGAGGAGCCTGGTGGGCCACAGTCTGTGGATTCACAAAGAGTCAGACACAACTGAGCAACAAGCATGTGCACAAGAGGTCAGGATGCTTTTAAATGCAGACAGAACATTGTGGGGAAGCTACCGCTGTGGTCATTACTTAGTGCCTGACTGCTGAGCTCGGGGCAAGGAAATTGATTAGCAACACCTAGTATCCCCTGACCGGGGCTTCTCTGGTGGCTCAGCAGTAAAGAATCTGCCTGCCGATGTAAGAGAACATGGGTTTGATCTCTGGGTTGGGAAGCTCCCCTAGAGAAGGAAATGGCAACCCACTCCAGTATTCTTGCCTGGGAAATCCCATGGACTTGGTAACAGCCGTATGGCCCTACCAGGGCTTGGAGGCCAGAAGACTCCTGCTCCACCTTCCATAACCAAGGACAAGAAAAGGCAAATGCCCAAGGGAGGGGAGGTTCTGCTCAAATCCCACTTGTAGGCTTGCTCCATCCAGAATCAATTCCAGAGCGCTTCCAGGGCCAGATTCAAACTGCCTGGTTTCCCTGGGGCACATGAAATTTAACTCATGCAGGGGGAAAAGAAAGAAAAATGATTTGAATAAAAGAGACAACAAAAGGAATATTGAAAGTGTTTTTCCTGAAGGTTCATCTCATTTTTTAAACATCAAGTTGACGTCTTTAAGGGGAAGGCTGGCGCAGCACCATACATCTAGGGGTCTGTGGTACAGGACTGAGAGCTCGGACGCAACAAAGGGGCTGAGCCAGGTTTTGGGGGAGTGACCGGCAGAGGAAGGCTTTGGACCCTAGTGTGTCCCACAGTGCCCAGGCAGAGTCCCCGTCTGGTGGTCAGGGGCTCAGATGCACCTGCCGGAGAAGGTGTACTTGGATGACAACAGCCCCACCCGAGTAGATGGAGGAGCAGGGGACCCAGGGTTGCCCCTGGCTGATGTCTTCCAAAGGAGCCCATGTGCTCCCAGGCTCTCCAGGGGTGTCCCAACAACTGCCCTTCTGCACGAGCCATGGCAGTTCTCGGCCAACCGGCCAGGCTGTCAGCCGAAGAATTTCTTCACTGCTTTCTCAAGGTTGGCATAGAACCCAGCCATGCTGCGGGGGAAGAAGGAGTCCACCACGCCCTGTGGGAGGTAACCACTGAGGTCGGTCTGGAAGAACGTGACCAGGCTGGTTTTGTTTGGCTCCCTGTGAAAACAAAAATAGGGCTGTTAGGTATCTAGAACCGAGGCCCACTC